GATTGTACATGTACTCTAAGCAAGGGAGGGATTGTACATGTACTCTAAGCAAGGGAGGGATTGTACATGTACTCTGAGCAAGGGAGAGATTGTACATGTACTCTAAGCAAGGGAGGGATTGTACATGTACTCTAAGCAAGGGAGGGATTGTACATGTACTCTAGGCAAGGGAGGGATTGTACATGTACTCTAGGCAAGGGAGGGATTGTACATGTACTCTAAGCGAGGAAGGGAATGTACATATACTCTAAGCAAGGGAGGGAATGTACATGTACTCTAAGCAAGGGAGGGATTGTACATGTACTCTAAGCAAGGGAGGGATTGTACATGTACTCTAAGCAAGGGAGGGATTGTACATGTACTCTAAGCAATGGACATGTACTACAACAAGGAGGGATTTGTTGCTAACATCTGTTGCTAAACAATGTTACATGTATAAAGCATGTCCAAGCACCATCATGTGGCCTGGGGTCTACAGTGTTACTGACTAGTAGCAAGGCAACATGGAGTCTCGAAGTTGAATTCAGAATTAAGTTTACAGAAGACTGTACCTCATTTTTCTCCTCCTGGGGTTTGAGCCTCTCTTGATTCTGGATGAACTCTTCTTCGAGAAGCAGATAATCTTTTATTCTTTCCAACTTTAACAACTTCAACCTGCAGTTTCTGTGTGGAGTAACTAAAAAAAAAAACAACATCAAAGAATGTGTTTGTGAAAGCCTTCCCATGATCTCTCTGTAAATTTTTTTTATGAATTCAAGAATGACAAAATTAATATTCAACAGAATTTGATATGTTGTGGAAATCAATGAAACTTAACAATTCCTAATTCAAGGAAAGCAAAGTCCTTTTAATGGAGAAATAATTTTTAAATACTCTATCTGGTCTGCACTAAACCCAATACAAAATGTAATAGGGTAACAGTTTACTCAGGCAACAAGTAGATTTAACACATGTAGTGACTAATTACTGCCAAAAATTACTTGGAGAAAGGATTGTTCTACCCATTCGGAAATTTCTTTTCTCTGTCAAGCTTCAAATAAGGGGGAATACTAGGTACTTTAATTAACAAATTCAGACCAAGTTGATATAGGAAACAAAAGTAGCAAGGATTTTCAATACCTTGAGGCAATTTGTTGGCTGCATCAGGTCCTTTGGTTTTCTTCTGTTTCTTTCCTACTCTGGTAGGAATTGGTGGTTCATACTTTTTTCTTTTGTCCTAGAAAAAGTCCAGTAAATGTAAAAATATAGCAAATGATCACAAGCCTTCTGGTTGGTGTATCTTATCAAAAAAATGGTGGAGCAAGCCCAACAAGATGCCTGCCTCTTATGAACACTACGAAAAACTGCTGATTCACAATAAATTCTCATAATCTTCCCCATAATTACACTTGCATGGATTGGTGCTCTACCCAATAGAGGGAATTACTTAACACAGCTTTGTTGAACATATTTTGCAGAAACAAGTGCTCTTAGCTGGCTCTTTCACTTCTGTCTATAGATAACACTTGCCTCTGAGGCTGAAATCTTAATTAATACAGTTTAGTAATGATAATGAAAAACAACAATTGGATTGGATTTAGGACAAAAACGAGCTACAGAGGTAAAGAACTGTGTTTAAAGATAAGTCTTGATATCGTTTCTATTAGTTCCACACCTTGTCTCCCTTTTTGTCTCCTCCAGCTCCCCCACTGCCAGACTGATTTTGACCCTGTCGTTACAAATTACGTTTTCAGTTAAATAAAATCAAATGCATTGAGAATACAAGGACATAATTATTTTTTCACAATTAAAAATGTGAAGTAGTGCTCCACTAAACACTTTTTGACAAGATACAACTGGGCTTATGTGAAATAAATCGTTCAGGTTAACGAAAACAATCTTTGCTAATTTTGCTTCAACAACTCAGAAGTCCACGTTAAAACTCCAATGATGGCAAATAACAAAGCAATATTACTTGTGAATTACTTTATGGCTTACACCTAAGAATTTATTGGACATTTATTTTTCAAAAATAGAATACAACACTTTGGTTTTGACAGAAAACGTGTTAACGAAATAAATGTTTTAGTGGTGTTTGCGGGAGAATCTGGTAAGGTTAAGGGTAAATCGAATGAAATAAAACCAAAAAGTGAGGAAAAGGAACTTGATACACTATTCTTCTAAAGTAAGTACCAAAATATTTCATAATTCATGATGAAAAGAAACGAATACAACTGAAAAGTACTCACCATTTTGCCTCTGAGGATTCGATAGACCTCGCAGGCTCATGTCAGTCAACATGTCATGCGCAATCCGGTGGTGACTCATCTTCATACCCAGTGCTCCTCCTCTTCTCGTGCTCTTCTTGCGTTTCTACTCGACCCGCTAAGTCTCGACTTGCAAAACTACGTACAGTGGAACCTCGAAGTGCCAAGAGACTAGGGAAATTGGTTCGTTATATCGAGGGTTCGTAATATCGAAATTCTGTGGCAAACATTTTACTGTAACTTTAGCTGGGCTGAAACTGAATTATCGTTCGTTATACTGAGGACTTCTTTATCTAGAGGTTCTACTGTAACACTTTTTTAATCACAAATTTGAATGATGTAAACGTTTCGACACAAGTTCCTTACACAGGAAACGCTCTAAAGACGAATTTTTTTGATAAAGCTTAGGGAAAACTGCAGACAAGGAGAGTTATACATGTGCTGAGCTTTCAGATCTAAAATCAAAATTCACACTTACCCTGGGTTATCTTATCCTAACCTTGAACAATCCGACCCCGGCCAGATGTGACCCCAAAAGTTTCTGAAAAAATATTGAAGCCATTCTTATTCGATTCAAGAGATGTATAAATAAGTGTGCGGGGGCAAATTTCTTTCAAGGGATCAACACGCAATGCCCTTCCCAATTTTCGAGGCTAAAACTACGTGGATGGAATAATTTCCTGCGTTGCTGTATGGAAAGGAATAAGTTACCTCTCTTCTACCTGTAGTTTTATTTCCATCGGTGATATTGGCGTTTTGTAGTAACAGAACACGCAGTTTGCGACCTTACGATTTGCTCGTTACAGGCCCCGGATCAAATGGTCCCCGTTCGACCTACCGGACTCTGATCATGCTGTAGACACTTCCTTTCACAGCATCTCTCTTTCTCTCTCTTACGGAAAGTAAACCGGGATTATAGCAAACTGTCTAGCGGCCGGAATAAAGCGAAACGCTCAGGAATAATCCGCGAGGGACTGATATCCAATCCAGGGAGGTTAGCTATACAAAAAGCGCCTTACACTGAAAGAGGATAGGCTAAGGTATAATGGTCCACTGAGCAAAGGTAGGTAATGATCAATAAGATTGACAAGACCAGCCCGCTGGATCCTGTCTCCTTTCTTTACGCCCGTCTGACTCATTTTCAATAAAGTGGTTCACACCATTGGTAACAGAGGCCTTTCTGAAAAACTTCAGAGGCTAAACAAGCGCACGGCCTTTCAAAGTTTTGGATCACCATCATTGTTAGGAATTGGCCGGCATTGCTCCTTTCTCCCTTTACCAGGCAAAAGAAAAACATCACGACAATAGGATTGCTACAATTGTTTTATTTAGTCCAACCACTACTGATACAAAAAGAAAAGAGAATGAAGATTGTAACTCGCTCCTCGACTAACGATTACAAAGCTTACCCTGTTCCAGGGGTTCAGTAACTGAATGGGGCACGTACCAAAATGAGCACGATAGCAGCCCAGAGTGAAAAAGGGGAGAGCATTCCGGGAAAGGTCACACCCTGACGTAAGCCTGATCTTCTTCCAAGTGTTACCAAGAGTCTAACCAAGACAAAGAAAGGCTACATCTCAATCAAAAAGGATCTGGGTACGTGGTCATCCCAGAACACCAAATTTTTTTTCACTCTGCGCCTCTACAGTACCCGTTTAACTGAATCAGTGAGGTCCGAAAAGACTACCGTCTCTCATTTATCTCAAAAGCATGGGCGAGGGGAAAAAAGCACTAGTCGAGCTGGAACTATTTTCACATACTTTTGTTTTCTTTTTGTTGGCGGCATTAAATTATTTGTCCACTTCGACTTACTTCAAAGTGGGGGTTGCTTGTAGTCTAGTGGATAAAGATCGGCGGAAAATAAACCAACATAAAACGCAAAAAAAGACTGGGGGCGAGGATCGCGCAATGGTGAGAGGACTCGCCTCTCACCGTTCTATTCCCGGGTTCGACTTCCGGGTTCGATTCCCAGGTTCGTTCCCTGGAGTTACATGTGGTTTGAGTTTATTGTTGATTGTCGCCATTGCCACCTCGTGGAGAGTAGCTGAAAGTCCACCAATAAATTCCCATTAAAGACTTTGAGAACCAGAGGGAAAATGCTATAAGAGAAAATGTTTCTTCCACATATCTTCTTCCTGGTAAGGACGGAGTGATGGTCTATCACACATCTGAAAACGGCAAAAGGTGTGTCTTACAATGGTTTTACCACTACTCAGGATTACGATGGTTTTACCACTACTCAGGATTACAATGGTTTTACCATTACTCAGGATGTGGGGATTCAACAAAAACCACCACTCGACAGCCACAATATCACAGCGAAAATCGTACAGTATTGGCCGTGTTAGATTACTGTCACCCACCCTTACATATTTGCACCATACTAATCTATGTTTCTGAGATGTTAGGTATGGTAAAATAAAGTACAAGTAGTCCCAACTCTGCTACGATTGATATTAAAGCACTGAATATTAACCCTTCCACTCGTAATACCTTACCTTATTTGGAATTCTTCTTACTGTCTGCCATAGAATTCTCACGATGAGAAATTTGGAGAATTATTTTCTATTGAATCAATTGAGAATCCACCAACTGATACTTTTCTTTATTCTCATCATTTGTCTGCTTGATATTGTATTGATACTGTAAGGAGAAATTCTGTCTTGATCACTCATGGGAGTTAAAGAGCTGAAACAACCCTTACACTGTTGTTCATGCACAACTTCCGTATACAAAAAAAAAATTGCGTGGTCACGATTTAGGAAAAATCAATAAGTGTCTCTTTCCCTTGCCTTTTTCCTTCACCTTTTAACTCTCAAGATCTCATTTGTGGTTCTCTTTACTATCTGCCATACAATTTAGTTTTGTTTAAGTTAGTTCTGGGCATTTTGTATTGGATCAACTTATAATCGCCTTATTGATAGTTTCTTTACTCAAATCACTTGTCTGCTTGATATTGCTTCGGGATTATTACGAGAAATTCTGTCTTGGTCATTCATGGAGTTTATTTGTTAAGTTCATATAAGAAACACGAGTTTTCACTAGATCATAGGCCATTTCCAAATTACGTTTGGCTTCTTTTTCAAAACGAGGCCTGGTGCTCGAGCATTCGTACGAAAGCGAGTTTAATTTAAACTTGAATGAAAACCTATCATCGTATCAAAGGATGAGCACCAGGATTCGCTTTGAAAAAGAGGCCAAAGGTAATTCGGCAATTGGCTATTTACAGAGCATAATATTAAGTCACATGTCTTCCTATCTAAAAACTCATAAAAGTGTTACCTCTGAGAGTGAAGCCAGTATCAATGTTTAGATATCAATTCCAACATTGCAATAGGGGAGATGACTGGACGGCAATGAATTTCTTAGTCTGTCAATCGTGCTTCAAAGAGACTGTCTGAAATGAAAGTGAGGAAAAATTTCATTACCACCACTACGACTACTATAAAGCTGGGGCTATATCAAAAGAAGAAAAGATCTGTTAGAGGAATCCTGAGAAAAATTGATCATCTTTGTCACTGTTTGTCCTGAGAACACCTTGGATGGATGTTTTCATTGCGAATTATGGTTCACGGGAAACACAACAGATTGATTCCGTGCGACAAGACGATTACTCACGATTTCGCTGCCGATAATGACATGACGGTGCCTCGCCGCCAAGAACGCCCCCGATTTCTGACACGACGATCATTGGAATGCCTCACCCGACTAACATCCACCGCTGGAAAACGCTTCAGAGAATGTTCACGATTTCTGAAACGATGATAACGGCATGTGCCACAAAAGTGTTATCCACCGCGGGAAAACGCTGGGAAGAACCTCGCGATTCTGAAACGATGATCACTCACATTCCACAACCAACTGATATCTAGCACGGGAAAATGCTGTAGAATAATTCTATAGATATGAGACAACGAACAGGAGATAGGGAACCCGGCAAAGACGATGATCTACGAGGTCTCCATCCAATTTCTTAGAGATTTAGAACAAAAGAATACTCTCGTGTCAATGAAGTTTAATATTAGTTACAGGTAGGTTTGAATGTTGTTCTACAATTTGCTTCCGTCAATATTGTCTCTTAATAAGAAATGGTACATGTAACTAACAAAGGTTGTATTTACCAAACATTACAATAGATTTACGTAAAAAAAAACCCTTAAAACACGACGGAAATTCCAGAAAAACCAATCTCGTACCAGTGACACTTTAACAGTTTTCAGCGGGCAATTTACAGTATCTTAAGAAAATTATTTAAAAAAATTGCAGTATAAGGGAATTTTAAAAAAAGTAACAGTCAATCCGCACGATCCTCTCCGAGATGTTTTCCAAGACATACAGGTTCTGCAAAACCGACCGCACAACGAAAGTTTATTGCTCCGTCAGCCGCTCAGGAATTCCAGACACTTAATACCTGAGAAAGAAAAGAAACCTATGGAAAATCTGCAAACGGAGCATAGAATCTGCTAAACTCATAGCCATGATAGCTTTGTAGGCATGTGAACAAGAAAAGATTCCCCAATTAAACTGGTCGAAATTCGGTGACATAGTAACTTTTTTCCAGTCCTGACAAACTTGAGTAAAGGACAATTAAAATGTCAACACTTCTTTGTGGCAAATTCTTTCAAATAAAGTCAAATATAAAAAAAAATTGGATGGACCTTTGTACGTGCAGACAAAAACCTCAGTGACGAAAACAAAATGCCGATATTGATGCCCCTTGCCTATGGTTGACAAAACTCCTGGCTGAGTTCACAAATAAATGTCCATTTACTAACAAGCAGAATTCCAAAGAACTTAAATGTACGAGTAGTAGTGGCCAGAAAAACCAAATGCTAGCAGGTAACAATTTCAACAAATATTGAGGATCACAAGCAAAATTTGTGACTATTACTGGCAGGTCTCTATTGCTTTACTGCACATGCAGTTTCAAACAAAGTCAGAGAAACTCTTTCTTTAGAAGGAAAAATGGTTCTTCCATGTCCTGAAGCCTTAATGCATATAAGAATCTGACTGGAAGATATTTCAAAAAGTACATTTGGACTCTCCCCATTAGAGGGCTTTTCTGAGCCGGTGGTTACATATTTTAATGTTGCGTAGCCACTCACAATCCAACAGACTAATGAAGCTAGAGCGATTTAGCCAAAACATTTGCACCAAAAAACAATACATGTCAAGCCAGATTCTTCTACAAATTTCCCTCATCGATCCTTTGCAGGTAAAGCTTGCCGCAAGAGAATCAACATAGAAAAGTTAAATAAAAACAGCATTTGTACCTGCGAGTTCCATACCCATCGCGAGGTGTTGGGTAACCTTCATAAGCTCCAGTATATCTGTGAAAAAATTTATTCTGAAAGTCACAAAGTTGTTAGAATGAAAATCCTCCTTGTTACACTGCAGCTTTTTAAAAGGCTTAATAATGACCCCTTGAAATTGTGAGGTCATATAATCAGCACTGTGCAAAATGTGGATAGGTAAAGCTGGACTTATCCAAGCTTCCATTACATGAAGTAACTAAGTCTGTTACTACTCTCCTCTGGATGGGATGCCAGTCCATTAAAAGGTTATCCCTGGCATTTCACCAGGTTTCCTGACAATATGCCAGTACCCAGTTATATTCCAGGGTGAAGAGAGGCTATCCCTGATATTTCACCAGGCTTCCTGACAATATGCCAGTACCCAGTTATATTCCAGGGTGAAGAGAGGCTATCCCTGGCATTTCACCAGGCTTCCTGACAATATGCCAGTACCCAGTTATATTCCAGGGTGAAAAGAGGCTATCCCTGGCATTTCACCAAGCTTCCTGACAATATGCCAGTACC